CAGGCCTGCTTCTGCGTCTAAAACCCTAAACCCTAAACCCTAAACCCTAAACCCTAAACCCTAAGCCCTAAACCCTAAGCCCTAGGCCGTAGGCCCTAGGCCGATGGGGGCTGCAGCCGGGCGCTGCGCGCGCCGCCCGTAAACCCTAAACCCTAGGCCCAGACGCCCGAAACGCCCAAACCCTAAACCCTAAACCCTAAACCCTAAACCCTAATGTTTGCGTTTGCTCGCAGTTCTCAGGATCTGCTTTTGCCAAAGTCGGAGACCTCTGGGTGCACCACGGTGCGTCCTGCTGCTGCTGCTGCTCTTGCTGCTGCTGCTGTTGCTGCTGCTGCTCTTGCTGCTGCTGCTCTTGCTGCTGCTGCTCTTGCTGCTGCTGCCCTTGCTGCTGCTCTTGCTGCTGCCTCTGCTGCTGCTGCTGCTGCTGCTGCTTCAGGTGTCCTGGCTCTCTGCCGGTTTTCTGGGTGCGTGCTGCTGCGTAGACGGGGCCTGTGGGCTCCGAGGGTTTAGGGTTTAGGGTTTAGGGTTTAGGGTTTAGGGTTTAGGGTTTGCAGGGACTTTGATGCGGGAAGTTGATTTAAATGCTTTGAGCCAAACCCTAACCCCCAATAAACTGAAGCTGCAAAGCAAAGGGGTTTCTAGTGTGGCTTCGAGGGTTTTGAACCTCAAGGAAATCGCCCCAGACATCACCCACGAAAACGTAAACCCTAAACCCTAAACCCTAAACCCTAAACCCTAAACCCTCGTGCAGCGGCGCCTGCGACCGCCTCCCGCGCCGCCTCAACGAGCTCTCTGCGCACACAAGTAAATAAACAAATAAACAAAATAAATAAATAAATAAATAATTTATTTATTTATTTATTTATTTATTTATTTATTTATTTATTTATTTATTTATTTATTTATTTATTTATTTATTTGCCTTCAGCTGTGCGCGGGGCTGGCGGAGGGTTTCCTGGGGGAGTTTGGGGTGTACGGACAGCCCGCGGCCGCGAAGCCGGAAACCCTCGAGGGTTTCCAAACCCTCGAGGGTTTATTAATTGCAAACCCTAATTTTAAAAAGCATTTGCAAACCCTAGGAGACTGGGACTGGCTTTACGGGAAAACCCCCGAGTTCTCCTTCCAACAGGAAACCAGGTTTCCCTGGGGATCCGTCGTAAGCGAGGGTTTAGGGTTTAGGGTTTAGGGTTTAGGGTTTAGGGTTTGGGGTTCGGGGCTCGCGCCAGGGGCTCGCGGCTAGGGTTTAGGGTTTGGGGCTGGGGCCAGGGGCATGCGGCTAGGGTTTAGGGTTTAGGGTTTGGGGTGGGGCCAGGGGATAGCGGCTAGGGTTTAGGGTTTAAGGTTTGGGGGGAAGCCAGGGGCTAGCGGCTAGGGTTTAGGGTTTAGGGTTTAGGGTTTGGGACTGGGGCGAGGGTTTGGGGGTTAGAAGGCCTCGAGCCCCGGAGGCGGGCCGTGCAGCAGGCGGCTCCTAAACCCCAAACCCTAAACCCTAAACCCTAAACCCTAAACCCTAAACCCTTGCTGCTTCGCAGGACGTGGGCCTTTCTGTTGAAAAAGGAGTTATTACAGATTGTAGGGTTTACAGCGACAGCCTCGAGCCGGACTTGATTCAGGCCTTCGCCGACGCCTTGAAGGGTAAACCCTAAACCCTAAACCCTAAACCCTAAACCCTAAACCCTAACCCCTAAACCGTAAGGCCTGATGCAGGTGGCTGGCCTTCACGACGCAGCGAGCCAAACCCTAAACCCTAAACCCTAAACCCTAAACCCTTTTCGCTGACGCAGGCGCCACCTTCACTGCAGCTGTCATGCACAGCAGGCTCACCGCCCTCCGCTGTAAGTAAACCCTAAACCCTAAACCCTAAACCCTCAAGTGCACTCTGCCAGATCTGTAGGGCTCAGGATGTTTGCTTCACGGCTTGGAGCCTAGGGTTTAGGGTTTAGGGTTTAGGGTTTAGGGTTTGTGCTGCTGCAGCCAAGTTCCCGGGGCTCACAGAGGAGATTGACGATTTTGCTGAGTGGCTCGCAGAAGCATCTCAGTCCTAGGGTTTAGGGTTTAGGGTTTAGAGCGAGGGTTTAGGGTTTAGGACTCGAGTTCAGGTGCTTTGAAGTCTCCAAGAGGCATTCAACTGCTTGCTATGCAGATGTGTAAACCCTAAACCCTAAACCCTAAACCCTAACCCCTTCGTGTTTTATCTTTTTTCCATTCGACGGGGGGGTTGTCAGCTGCAGCAGCAACAGCAGCAGCAGCAACAGCAGCAGCAGCAGCAGCAGCAACAGCAGCAGCAGCAGCAGCAGCAGGAGTTGGTGCGTTATATACGCAGAATCCCATCCCCAAACCCTAAACCCTAAACCCTAGACCCCAGAAAGTAAAGGGGTCTGTTATGTGCGCGCACAGCTTGCGCAGATAAGCTGCTGCAGCGTGAAGGGTTTAGGGTTTAGGGTTTAGGGTTTAGTGTTTAGGGTTTAGGGTTTAAGATGGACTATTTTTTGATGCGGCCAGCCAGATGTCATGTGAGGCCCGAAGCCCTTTTTCAAACCCTTTTTTAAATCCTAATGACTTTTTAGAAACCCTAAACCCTCCTCCAAACCCTAAACCCTAATCCCTCTTTTTAAACCTAATACCCCTGCCCCAAAAGGGCCCCCTGGGGGCCCCCAGAGGGTTTAGGGTTTAGGGTTTAGGGTTTTGGGGTTTAGGGGGCCTCCAGGGGGCCCCCAGGGGCCCCTAGGTGACCCCAGGGCCTTGTGGGGCGCCCCATATTCTGTACCCTCCTGGGGGCCCCCCCATGGGGGCCCCTTTTGGGGGCCCCCTCTTAAAGGGGCCCCCTAGGGGACCTCTTAAAAGGAGGCCCCCTATGGGGGCCCCCTAAAGGGGGGCCCCCTATGGGGCCCCTTAGAGGGCCCCTTAAAGGGGGGCCCCCTATGGGGGCCCCCTATGGGGGCCCCCTATGGGGGCCCCCTAGGGGGGCCTCCTATGGGGGCCCCCTAGGGGGGCCCCCTATGGGGGCCCCCCTAGGGGCTCCCTTGGGGTGCTTTTGGGGGTCCCCCTTTGGAACTTGTGATGTGGAGAGTGGCGAGGAAACCCTAAACCCTAAACCCTACTTTGGGGTTTGTGAGCTGCAGCTAGCTGCAGCTAGCCAAAGGGGGGTTTGGCTAGCCCGAGGGTTTTGGGGTTTAGAAATAAAAGTGGAAACAAAATCGGAAATGAGGGTTTGGAAAAGATGCCCGAGGTGTACATACACCCTGAGGTGTACGTACACCTGAGCTGTCCATACACCCCGGGGGCCCCACGGAAACCGCCGCGGGAGCCCCCAAACCCTAAACCCTAAACCCTAAACCCTCAGCGGCGAGTTGCAAACTCCAAACCCTCCAACAAACCCTAAACCCTAAACCCTCGGTCAGCAACAACCCTCTCGCGGGGCCGCTCAGGGGCCCCTCACCACCGAGTTGTCTTGGCACAACCCCCAAACCCTAAACCCTAAACCCTAAACCCTAAACCCTAATTGGCAGCGTTACATTGCCTCCAAAATGAGTTGATTTTTTGCGCGTTGCATTTCCCCCTCACTTCCTAAACCCTAAACCCTAAACCCTAAACCCTTTTCAGCTGCTTCCCGCGCGAGCGCAGTGCGCGCTTTGGTGAGGGCACTGAAACCCTCCCCCAAAACCCTAAACCCTAGCCTCTCGCTCTAAACCCTAAACCCTAAACCCTAAACCCTAGATAGATTTAAGAGTAGATAAAACCCTCATTCTGCTACTGACACCTCCAGGGCCCCCGGGGGCCCCTTGCTGCTATGGGGGGGGCTGTGGGTCTATTAGGGATGGGCCCCCGCCGCAGCGCAGCAGCAGCAGCAGCAGCTTCTGCTGCTGCTGCTGCAGCAGCAGCAGCAGCAAGAGCAGCAGAGACTTCGCAGCAGCAGCAGCAAGAGCAGCAGCAGCAGCGAGCCTGGGACGAGCTCTCCCTGGCCTCCGTCTCAGACGACAGCACAGACTCAGCAGCAGCAGCAGCTGCTGCTGCTGCTGCAGCAGCAGCAGCTGAGGGGCCCTCCCGCAAGCGCCGTAGGTGCGCGAAGGGTGCTGCTGCTGCTGCAGCAGCAGCAGCAGCAGCAGCAGAAGAAGCAGCAGCAGCTGCTGCAGCGACGCCAACAACAAAGGCGGGGAAGCCCCGAAGGCGTAAAAACAGCCCAGCAGCAGCAGCAGCAGAAGCAGCAGCAGCAGCAGCTCAAGAAGCAGATGCTGCGTGTACATCTGCTGCAGCAGCAGCTGCTGCTGATGCTGAAGCAGCAGCAGCAGCAGCAGCAGCAGCAGCAGCTGACTGCAGCAGCTTTGACGACGACGTGCCCCTAGACGCCCTTTGCTTCCTCCCCTCCTCCTCTCCCGTGAGGCAGCAGCAGCAGCAGCAGCAGCAGCAGCAGCAGCACAGCTTAGCAGCAGCAGCGCCAGCAGCAGCAGCAGCCTCCAGCCGCCACGCAGTCGATGCATGCAGCGACAGCAGCAGCAGCAGCAGCAGCAGCAGCAGCAGCAGCAGCAGCAGCAGCAGGAAGAGACTGCGGGGGGGCCCCTCCTTGTCGGAAGCAGAGGAGGATTTCTCCATTCCGGATTTCGTTGGCAGCAGCAGCAGCAACAGCAGCACCAGCAGCAGCAACAGCACTGCCACCAGCAGCAGCAACAGCAGCAACAGCCACAGCTGCAGCAGCAGCAGCAGCCTCCCCTTACTGGACGAAAATAACAGGTGAGCTCTCAAAGACTCTACCTAGGGCTCCCTAGAGTTAGGGTTTAGGGTTTAGGGTTTAGGGTTTAGGGTTTAGGGTTTAGGGTTTGTGCGTTTCAGGGCAGCGCCACTCAGCGCGAAGCGGCGAACTGCCCTGGAGAGAAAGAAGCGGCTGCTGCAGCAAGAAGCTGAAGCTCTTGCCAAAGAGGTGCTGCTGCTGCTGCTGCTGCTGCTGCTGCTGCTGCTGCTGCTGCTGCTGCTGCTGCTGCTGCTGCTGCTGCTGCTGCTGCTGG